TTGCAAAAAGAAGAGTTAATTTGTGGATATAATTCTGGAACATTTAAACTAAATGAACAGAAATATATTATTTTCGAAAAAGAATTACTTGCAATAAAATTGGCAATAAAGAGTTTTCATATTTATTTAGCCCCAGAAAATTTTATTGTACGCACTGATAATAAGGCAGTAAGAGATTTCTTGATCAATAAAAAACCTATTGAACAAGGAAGAAGATTAGCCTGGTATAATAAAATTTCTGAATATATTTTTGAAGTAGAACATTTTAAAGGTACTAACAATTTTCTTGTAGATTTTCTTAGCAGAAATTGTTTTAGAAAATTAAATTGCTAAACAAGTAAATTTAATTTTTGCAGAAGACCTCTAGACCAAGAGGAAACAATGGACAAGGGTAAACAACCTGCTCAAGGAGATTGGGTGACAATTGCTAAAAAAGCAATCCCCAGAGAAGAAAAAGTTTATGTTGTGTTTGCAGGAAGACAACCTGGAATTTACACAGACTGGAACGAATGCAAAACACAAGTTTGTGGATATTCAGGAGCGAGCTATAAAGCATATGATAGCATGACCAAAGCTAAAAAAGCTTTTTACAGTGCACCGATTATGCCTGTTTATCAAAAGAATTTTTGTCAAATGAGAACTAACCCAGTTCCAACTAATATTCAGACATCTAGACCAGATAAATCTGAAATAAATTTTTTTTTTCAATCCTGGTATATCCAGAGAAATTTATACAAAACTCAATGGAGTTTGGAAAACTCACATTGTAGACAACAAAATGAAATTTCGAAAACACATGGGAGTTTTGGCCAACAAATTAGCTGAGCAAACAACTAAATTAAAAGATTTGCAAAATCTTTGTTTCAATATTCTTAAACAAATGAATTGGAATGAAGATTTTAATTTTGAAAAAATAAACAATTTTCTTCAACTATCAGACCTCATATCAGATGAGTTTTCTGATCCAGTTTTTGAACAGATAAAAAGAATTTGTCTTTTTGAAAAAGCAAGAACATTGCTTCCAAAAGAAATTTTTATGTTAATCAAAAATCGGGTTGAAGATCATCATGATAAGATTAGACAAATCTTAGAACGATCTTATGATAAATTAAATTTGAAAGATGGAATTCCCAAAATAACCATCATGGCAAACCATGACATGTGGTTTTTTGAGGATATAGATTGGGGAATAACTAATCAAGTTATTTTTCAAATTTTAGATCCAATTCAATGGATAGATTATCCAATGATCGTCAAAACAATGCTCTCATGGATAGTAAAAGGGTTTCGATGGAGCAAATATTTTACTTTTTGGATCTCCAGTACTGTTGGTTGGCGAGAACGAGAACATTTTTTCCAACCATACTAGATTTGGTATCTTAAAGAAACTGAAGATTTTGAATTTGAAGATGATTATTTAGATGAAGATCACCGGAGAGAGCGATTGGAAAATATCCAAAAACTTTCTTTAACAGAATATTGGATAGACAGTCTAATATCTGTTTCACAAACAGCGTCCAACATCCATGGCTCAGCAAAATTGCCATTCATGGTTACAGATGGAAGAATATTATTTGTAACCCATTTTCCCATAACATATCAAAGGTCTCCTACGCAAATTAATGAGGCTCTTGACATGTTAATAAATCTCAAAAGGAGAAATAATTTGGATCTTCCGTTGGAACTAGCCATGACCGCGGATGATGTAGAACATTTCCGGAATGAGCAATACAGCCAAGATCTGGATTCCCCTCCATCAGAGACTGATGAAGAATATCACAATCTCATCAACAGGATGGAAGCATAGTGGACCCCACTATCACATGCAGCTGTCTCCTGATCGACTCCAACCTTATCCAGGATACGTGGTGCAACCTGCATTTTTTGGCGGAAAGTGATCAGCTTCATCCTTTCAGCCGACGCTACACGACAAATCAGCTCAGCCAAAGCTTATCTACAACAGTCTATCTCTTTGAACACCGGGGAGGGTAGACAGTACTATCAGTGTATATAATTGAAAAAACTGTAGCAAAGAGCAAATAATTGTAGTCCTTTTATATTTATTTTTGTCTATTTGTATTTATTTTTAGGAAAACTTGTCAAAAAGCCTATGACTAGGCTTGCCTAAAGAGTTAGAACTTTGCAACTTTTATACGAAAAGTCTTGCAAAGTTAGATATGGAGTTAGATATGTTAGATATGCATTAAGTTAAGTTTTTGTTTGTATTCACCTCTTTGTATCTATATATTGGCCTTTATGCCAACATAATGGAGAATGTAAATTCCCTTCAACTTCTCTCCATCTTTTTGCTTTCTTCTTTGTCTCTAAGATCTCTATCATAATTTTATAACTCCACCATAATTCCATAAGTAAAGAAGCTCCTTTCCAAACTCCATTGAGTTCTTTATAAATTTCTCTAGATATACCAGGATTGAAAAAATCTTTTATTTCAGATTCATCTGGTCTAGATGTCTGAATATTAGTTGGAACTGGGTTAGTTCTCATTTGACAAAAATTCTTTTGATAAACAGGCATAGCCGGTGCACTGTAAAAAGCTTTTTTAGCTTTGGTCATGCTATCATATGCTTTATAGCTCGCTCTTGAATATCCACAAACTTGTGTTTTGCAATAATTCCATTCTGTGTAAATTCCAGGTTGTTTTCCTGCAAACACCTTTTGGGTTAAATATAGCACCACAGGTATTTCAACGGTGGATGGATACAATTTTTAAGGATCTTAAAGATTGTTGTGTAGTTTATATTGATGATATACTTATCTTCTCTAAAACCAATGAGGAGCATAAAAAACATTTAAAATTACTTTGTGAAAGATTCCAAAAACATGGAATTATTTTGTCTCCAAAAAATATTGAATTAGAAAAAGAATCAATTGAATTTTTAGGAATAATTTTAGACAAAAAAGGTTTAAAATTACAAGAACATATTTTGTCCAAATCAAAAAAATTGATAGCTTTCAGTACACCTAGAGGACATTACCACTGGAATGTTATGCCTTTTGGGTTAAATATAGCACCACAGGTATTTCCACGGTGGATAGATACAATTTTTAAGGATCTTAAAGATTGTTGTGTAGTTTATATTGATGGTTTGGTTTTAAGGTCAATTAAGAATTAAATTGGCCTTTTTCTGTTTCTAAATTTTATTAGAAGTAAAATCATAAATTTTTTTGAATCAAACCAAAATTAAACCTTAGAAAGTAATCCAAATCCGGTTCGGTTCTTTATTACTAAACTCAAAAAATTATCAAGATATCCATACTATTCAATTCAATACAAAATTATCATACAAACATTCCAAAAAAATCATAAGAATATTTAAAACTTTTATGATATTTTTCAAGCCAACTTTTATGAAATGTGTAAAGAGATATCAATTTTTTATATTATATACTAAGTAATAATAAAAAGTATATAATCTTATAAATAGGGAATGGTTCGGTTCACTTATATTTGATTCTTTTGTGCCTTAACCTAGGAACCGAATTCATAATCAATGGTTCTGGATAGATGGCTTATTCTTATTTGAGGCTTAAAATTAAAAGAAAAAAAATTAATTACTACCCTTTATAAATTTTTACACTAGTTTTAAATTTTCCGCTACTCCTATTTTTATTTAAAATTCCCAACCCTTTATGATCAAAACATTTTCTAATTATTCTAATTTTTAATTCTTTGCTTGACCCAAATCAATCAATATTCTTAACCTCCACAATAAAAAGAATAAAATAAATGTGGCTCACATGATTTTGACAAATACTTCAACAAAAGAATGATTCAGCTTGTTTGGTTCCAGTTTTCAGAAAATAATTTTCAGGAAATTCTTCTTTTTTATTTTTCGTATTTTAATGTTTTCAATGAATTTTTTTTAATATTTTAAGCAATTTTTTTTATATAAATTTTAGACACACCTAACGTAAATACACTTAAAAAATATAATATTTGTGAAAAAAATATTTAAAAAATACATTAAACACCAAAAAGTACCCAAAAAAAACTAAAATTCAATACATTTTTTGTTTTTTTGTGTATTTATTAATTTTTAAAAATATTTTTTCACAAATATTTTACCATTTAGATACATCTAAGTAAAGTGCATCTAAAAAAGTAAAAAAATTACTTAAAACTTAAAAAAATTTCACTAAAAACAAAAAAAACACAAAAAAAAAAACTCAATTTTCAAAAAATTAAATTCAGAAAACTGCAACCAAACAAACTGATTAGTACTTTTTATAGTGAGAATGATGTTTTTCATTACAAATCAAGATGAGGAAGAGGGGGACAATGATAATTAGCTTTTAGTGATCAATTTAAGAGAGAGGTTGCAAGTTTAGTCTTTGATGTAATGACCAAAAAAAAGTTTTATTTTATTTGATGAGATTTTATAGAAATTTTAAAAATTGTAAACAAAAACTCATTTGATATTAATTTTATTTTCAAAAGTTTAAAACAGTTAATAAAATTTACTAAATTTATGTAACTACAAAAAAAAATTTAATTTCATCTGTGTAAGATTTTTTTGGGGAGAATTACAGATTAGTGGGTGGTTAGGAAAAATATTTATAAAAAAATAATAAATATTAATAATTAAAATCATAATTTATATATTTTTTTGTAAATAATTTTTTCTGATTGTGTTAGATTCAAATTAATTAGGAAAAATCATAAGTTATCGTTTGGCAAAACATTTTTTAGTTTGCTTTTTGAAATTGAGACTTTTTTAAAAAAGTCAAAAAGCTAACCCACTTCCCAAACGGAGGCTTAAAGATGTTGTATATTTTTTATTGTATGTACCTTTATATAAAATGTGTACTTTTTAAAAATATCTTAACATATTATCTAAAAGTATACGTTAACAAAATTCATTAAAAAAATTACAGGGAAAGAATAGTTTGTCAATTATTATTTTTTAAATATATTGGAGGTCTTAGCTTCCGACTTTGCTTATGTCTTCCTTATGGAACACTGGACCAAGAAAAAAGAGTATTATTAATGGATGCATCTCCATGCCAAAGTAACATCTGTTTTTATTCATGGGTAACCTTTTTACATAAAGCCCTATTTATCAAAATTCTCACCCAAAAAAACAATAATTATAATGCTAATAAATAAAAAAGATGCAATTCACACTATTGCAAGACATATGTGTATCCATCCAATTAACATTACTTTCACAAATTGTCCACCTAATTGCACCTTGCATTCACAAGCCAAGACCAATCAAAGGGAGGAAGTTGAAGGAGTAGGAAGCAGGTATGTAGTTTTCTCAAATCCCACTTAATTAGGAGTACTAAGCACTTTTCGCAAAACCCACTTGGAGATTACCAAAGTCGAATATAGTGTGGTATGCTCCAAGGAATAAATCTCCAAGAACCCTGTAATCCAATATAAACATATATGTATGCAACCACTTGTTTGTCATTCATAAGAATGGGAAAAAAAAATCACTTTTGAAATTACTGCCACTAACTAATTTTACAATAATAATAGAGATCTCCACAAAATACAATCCCCACAACTCCCAAAATGATCTGAACCATTTATGTCATTGTCAGACACAACTTCTAAAAAAAATTCAAACACATCAATAGCCAATACATCAGTGGGGGTTCAGGGGATCCTCTTTTGTGGGGTTCCACACATTTTCCTATTAGCTGAGTAATAAAGAATTGCATATTATTATCCTGCATAGATAGACATGCTCGTAGGAAATTTCCTATATATGCATATAGATGATTACCATGTGTCATGACAAAACTAAAATAAAATAAAATCAGAAGATGACATACCATAGGGGGCCTTTTTGAGCAGGCACATCCAAAGCAACGAACCCATTAAGACAGACAGTAGAACAGCTTTCTTCAACTTTGATGGTATACTAGAGACACAAAACAAAACCAAAAAAAAAAACGTACATGCTTAGAGCATGCTAGTGCTTTCTGTTTATATTTATAGAAATTTTAAAATTTATATATAAGAAATCATTTAGTACCATTTTCTTTTAAAATTTTGTAAACGTAATTTACTAAAATTTTGAATAAAAACAAAAAAGTTAATTTCATTTGTTTTTTAAAAAAAATTCATTTCTCTTTCTCCTATTTCCAAGAACCACCACCAATGCTTATCACCACCAGTCACTATCACTAATGACCTCCTCTGACAACCACCTCCCGAGGTCCGTCATCACCTTTTGTCGGATACAAGCTTTGGTCATCATCTTAGATTTAGATAGCCCGCCACCACCTCCAACAATAGGCAATCACTTTTGGCCAACACCCTCCTACATTCAACAATCACTTTTGTCCACTACCAATCACCTCCCATCAGTGACAATCATTTTTTACCAGCATTTCCGATGGCTAACAATCACCTCCAACAACCACATTCAACAATCGATAACCATCTCTCGTGGGCCATCCCCTTTCAATTGTTTTCAAATCTACAGATATCATCGTAAACGTGCCACTAACTGATGATGCTCCTTTTTATAGCTTATTGATGTTTATTTTTGGATTGTATGCCTAATGATGTTTTCACTCATATATTTGAGGATGTTGTAGGAATGAATCCCAGAACTTAGTAACTTTCTTCTAATTAATTTATGAGTTAGGTTAGGGATTTCAAATAATTTATCAAATATTTTACCAAACTTCTCACATGGATGTGAGACCCACACACATGTGGATTTGTATGAATCCTACACCTATATAAGAGATTTAGTAAAATATTTGATAAATTATTTAGAATTCATAACATTTTCTAAAAAGAAAAGAAAAGTTATTGTGTCATAATGGATGTGATAATATGAGAAAGATGAATGGAGCAAACGTTTTTTAAGTATAGCAGTGCACTTCAATAAGCATTTCTAGGGACCTTGAACGGTGCATTTTTTTTTATTTTATTAAATTTTAATAAAAATTTAATATGATATCAAGTGTTCTAACGAAGGTATTTAAGGCTTCATTTGAGCAAAAAAACTATTGTATTCTTTCACTTATTGTGATAGATTTGATAATGGGAAAGAGCAAAAAAAAAATAAAAATAAAATTGTGTTCCTTGAATTATTGTGTTATAATGGATGTGATAATGGAAAAGACGAAGGAGCAAACGTTTTTAATCATATCATATCATAAACTCATGTATGTCTATGTCTGATGGTATGGTATAAATAAAATAAGTGAACAAAAAAGAGAATAAAAAAATAAGAAAATCAGAAGGGAAATAAAAAAAATAAAGGTAAATTACAAATACACCTCTTGAGGTGTGTTTAAAGTATAGATTGTCTCATGTGGTTTGAAAAATTACCAATATCCCTTTGTTAGAATTTTTTATTTAACAGAATTAACTAAAAAAAATAAAATTCATAATTGCTCTCATATACAATAATAAAATTATATAAATTATTAATTGTAATATATTTCTAATATCATTAAAAACTATTAATTGACTAGATGATTTATTAATAAAATGGGCGATTTATTATGAAATTATAAATCTCAGGGGTGAAATATAATTTCCAGAATCACAGAGGCGATTCATATTTTAATAAAATCTTAAGGGATGTATTTTAATTTATTGAAAAAATAAAAGGAAAGAGGGAGGAAAGTGAGAGAGTGATTCACAGGTTTAGAAACATTCAAACATTGGCTTAATTATGTTCTCTATCGACCGTCTAGCAACATAATAGTGACTTCATTGGTTGAACTCAATGCATCCTTACTTGTTGAACAATCTGACCCTAGGATAAATTTAGAAATTAATCTCAGCCATTGATACAAAATGTATCTCTTAAACATTTTGAGATATTTTTAAAAATATAAATATAATATAAAAGTAATCTTGTGACTTTTATTGGCATAGTCTAAAAATATGACATGTGTCATGCTAAAAATTCACCACATATTTATAAACTTGGTAAAATGTTTATTTTTTTTTTAAGTCTTATTTTGCCTCTTTGTTTTCTCATTTTTCAAGTAATTTGTAATTATTATATATTGTTGTCTCTTCATTTTCTCATTTATTTCATATTTTTATGGAGAGATAAATGTGTGAAGGTTGGGGAGAGAGAGCAAATTCAAGTTAAATAAAGGTGTATATATGTATATATTTTATCTGCTCACTACTCTTACTTCTTATGCAAATAAAATTTCGTTGGGCCCGTGAGGCACATATAAAAAGAAGGCACTGGCTTCCTCCAGTCTCAGATCGGACTAAAGGATATTATTGGGTCCGTGAGAGTATACCACAGATCTTGTTTCGATAATTTAAACCGTTTAATGTGTAGAACTTGTCGAGTACTATATGCCTATAAAAAATTATGTTGATCGGATATCGATAGCTATCTCATCGGATCAGCTTTCTGTCAACCATTTATTTTTTCACCGTTCATTTATTTTAATACAAAACTAATTTGATCACGTAACTATTAACATCCAATCAATGTGATTTTTTATAAACATATAGTACTCGACGAGTTTTATACATTGAACGGTTTAGATTATCGAAACAAGTCTTATGGTGGGTCCTCACAGGCCCCTCTAGTCTGATCTGATACTGGAGGAAAGCCAGACATTAAAAAGAATTTTACTTAGTACAAACCTTTATCTTATTTTAAAATTCAACAATGTTAGGTATCATGAAAAACCTTTCATGAAAATAATCATGAAAGTTTTGTGACCCTTGGATTACACTTAGAATAAAGTACCACATACTAATCAAGGTAATTCAAGAATCATAAATCTTTTATGATCATTTTCATAAATTTTTTTTTCATGATCGTTAGCTTTTCTATTTAAAATTAGAAGTCAGTGATCTCTTAATATGTCTCTTTATTTCTGTAATTTGCATTGAGTATAAATCGTCAAGACAAAGCAAGGCTACTTTATCATGTCTATTTTTGGTTTTCTTTTCTAAAGTTTTGACAAATTTATTTTTCTTTTCTCATGATTTTTTTTTTGAAATTTGATTTTGTCTCTCTTTTGACTTCTTAGTTCTTAGAAAATTATCAATAGATGTTATTTGTTTTTACTTTCATGCATGCGATCTTTAGTCCTTTCTCTCATTGATTTGCTCATTGCATTTCTTAGTTTTGGGATGCATTTACTTATATTTCAACTATACGTTCTTTTTAGTGCATTTTTATTTATTTATTTATTTTAATTTTTTTTATTAATATAATGAAGTGAATTCTAATGCTATTATCGGCATGTGTAATATTATATATACTGTGTTTGGAGATATATTTTTGGAGCCTTTAAAGATTAACATAATTTAATGTTATTGCCTCTTTAATATTTTTGAGAATTTAGTTTTTCTATATTCTAAAAAAAAATTTAGTTTCACAAATTTTCAATTATTAATATTATATTCTACTCGTTACCATTATATAAATAATAATAATAATAATAATAAAAAAATTATACCCTATATAAATATAAATATATATATATATATATATATCCCTGTTAGAAAATTTATAAATTTATAAAGAGGTAGTTGTGAATTGAAATAGACACCATTTTAAATGAAAGGGTGTAACCTTTCATGGTGTTTTTTTGTTTTAAAAGAAGGGTCTCTATTTTGAATGAAAGGGTGCAAACCTTTCATGGTGTCTCTTTATTTTAAAAGAAGGGGTATGTCCCTTCTTCATACCTTTTCTATTCAATTTGAATAGGTGCCAACAAAGCCTATATAAAGGCAGCCCCATTCCAATTTTGAGGATTTCGAAAATTCATTTTCCTTGCCTTCATTTTACTCTCTTGCGTCCTTTATTCTTCAAATTATTTTAGGGTAATCAAAGAGAGTATAGATCGTAGGTTTGGTTCGCCGAACAAATTGTTTGGAGTGCTACTACAATTTGTGAAAATCATTGTATCCTGGGAGATAGACGCCATTCAACCGTAAGCACCATAGCGGGGCGAATCTGTCTTAAGGACAGAGTGTCACACACTCGACTTGGTCTTAATTTTATTTCGGTTCGATAAATAAATCTGGTATGTTATTTATTTATTTTGTTTGAATTTATTTCAAGTTATTTTATATGCACAGAAGATTGTTCCAAGAATCTTAAGACAGATTCGAATTATTCTGTTTACAGAATATTTCGTTTGTTTTCCTTTTTCATTCTTCGTAAATAATTTCGGAAGAAAATTATTTTCTGTGGATTTACGAAAAACAAATAGTGATTATATACTATTTGACAGATAGTAGTAATATACTGTCTCTTTTCTTTGACAACAACTAGTAGTACGATACTGGTGTCATTAACAATTCAGAATATATTTTTGTGGAATTTTTTCAGAAATTAATTTTGGGTTTTAGAAATTATTTTCTGAGTTTTCATTAATTAAAATTCTGTTTCAGTATTTTAATTATTGAAGTGTTACTGAAATTAATTTTCTTGTGTGGAATTAATTTGGTGAAATAAAATTCCAAATTAATTGAAAAATAAAAGTTATAGTTTTTATTTCTTTTATTTTACAGAATTTAATTTCTTGTGTGGAATTAATTTGGTTAAATAAAATTTTATTTTATTTCCAAATTAATTGAAAAATAAAAGTTATAGTTTTTATTTTTTTTATTTTACAGAATTTAATTTTCTGTGTGGAATTAATTTTTTTAAATAAAATTTTATTTTATTTTCAAATTAATTGGAAAATAAAAGTTACATTCTTGTTTCTTTTATTTTTACAGAATTTAATTCTGTGAATTTAGTTTTATTTTCTATGTAGTATTAAATTCTAATTATAATTGTGGTTTACAATTTAGAATTTATAGCTACTAAAACTGGTTAAACTAATGTTCAAACCAGTACTGGTATGGTGATTGTCATTGCGCCAATCTCTCCTTATATTGAGACTATATCAGTGAATCATGGTAAACAGTCAGAGAAGTTCTTAAGAACTGATTTTTGCAAAGGCAAAAGCAAAAGAAGAACAAGCAAGAAGCCTACTCAAGCCCATATGACTGAAGTGGACAATATTTCCAATGGTATAGATGATATCAATCTTTCTACAGTTGTTTCCGAGGCAAATCTTGTCGGAAATACTAAAGAATGGTGGGTGGACACTGGTGCTACTCGCCATATTTGTGCCAACAAAAAGATGTTCACATCTTATTCTATAGTGGACAATGGTGAACAACTCTTTATGGGTAACTCCTCAACTTCCAAAGTTGAAGGACAAAGAAAGATTGTACTCAAGATGACATCTGGAAAGGAACTCACTCTTAACAATGTGCTGTGTGTACCGGACATTCGCAAGAATCTTGTTTCCGGATCTTTATTGAGTAAGAATGGGTTTAGGCTAGTTTTTGAAAGTGACAAGTTTGTACTTACCAAAAACGGGATGTATGTAGGAAAAGGTTACATGTCTGATGGCCTTTTCAAGTTAAATGTAATAACCGTTGTACCCTCAGTTATTAATAATACTACATCTTCTTCTTACTTGCTTGAGTCTTCAAATTTTAAATCAGTAAATTCAGGACATGTTAATTATGGATCTTTGCGTAAATTAATTAATATGGAATGTCTACCTAAATTTAACATTGTTTCAAATCATAAATTGTGAAATTTGGTTAAGCAAAATTATCTAAAACTCCTTTCATTCAATTGAAAGAAGTTACGGAACACTGAATTA